TAAAGTTCAAAACTTTACACAAGAAGATAGATTATGGCAGAGAATGACGATGACAGTTGCAGTGTTGAAGACGAAGAACACACCAATAACAATAACAATGGTTGTGATAAGGAAGAGGAAGAACTCTCAGTTCCCAGAGGTGGGCCCATCTTCGTCCCCAATCTGGTGGGCTCCCTCACCAGCGTCCTTTTGTTCCAGTCTTCTATTGTCCAAGAACTTCAGGTACTCTTGGTTGATGAGTTCTTGATAGTTCTGTTATTGCTTTGCTAATTTTTGATTGATTCATTTAGTTTAAAGTTGTGTTGGGCTTATTTTGCAGGATTTAGAATTTGAAGTATCTTCAAGTTCATCCCAAGTCTTAGACGAAGAAAAGGGTCAAAATGAGTCAAATGGATGGAATAATGGATGAAATGTTCGAATTTTGACGGTGAGGGGAACATTTATAATAAATTTTAATTTGAGCCCTTAATTCGCTAAAAAAAAAGATCAAGTGGTAAATTGAGAGTTATATACAAGTTCAGGGGACATTTCAGTAGATTACCTTTATTTTTAAAACAAAAAACCTTCTTTCCCTTTCTCTTTTACTGTTGAGAGTGCCCACATTGCGAACTGCTTAAACTCCCTATCCCTAGACAGTACCAGGGCATATATTTGCCGCGTTCTGTAACATATCTACTGTAAAAACAAACTGTTTATTGGATTTCGTCCAAAAAAAAAAACAAACAAACTGTTTGTTTGGAGGGTTAACCGGGAGACGCAAAGAGAGACACTTTTGTCTTCAACTCTCTCTCTCTCTCTCAAAAACCCTAGACTTCCTTCACCTCACAGGTATTTATACTATTTTCTTTTTTTCAATTTTGTTGTAAATGAAACCAACTGTTCCCTTCACTTCGTATGCTGCTTTCCCAATTGGGTTTCTTTTCGTTGAAAATTGAGAAGATATATAGTTTATGCATTTTGTTGGTGTAATTAAAGTTCAAAACTTTACACAAGAAGATAGATTATGGCAGAGAATGACGATGACAGTTGCAGTGTTGAAGACGAAGAACACACCAATAACAATAACAATGGTTGTGATAAGGAAGAGGAAGAACTCTCAGTTCCCAGAGGTGGGCCCATCTTCGTCCCCAATCTGGTGGGCTCCCTCACCAGCGTCCTTTTGTTCCAGTCTTCTATTGTCCAAGAACTTCAGGTACTCTTGGTTGATGAGTTCTTGATAGTTCTGTTATTGCTTTGCTAATTTTTTATTGATTCATTTAGTTTAAAGTTGTGTTGGGCTTATTTTGCAGGGTTTAGAATTTGAAGTATCTTCAAGTTCATCCCAAGTCTTAGACGAAGATATTTCGTAAACATTCTCACTTTCCTTTGTCTTGGGTTTTGCATTTTGAATTTTAGCTGGTGGGTTTTGGTTCACATTGTTATTGTTTGTTGTGCAGGGTGGATGAGCTCAAAATCTTGACTGAGGAAGAGTTGGTGGATATGGCTATCAAGGAAGCATTTAAGGTACACTCATACTTACACTTAGTGCTTTTTTGTGATTTGAAGAAGCTCTGATAAATAATACAGCAGTGCTTGTGCTAACAAGGTATGGCTTTATCATGGGTTTGATTGTAGGACAATGAAGATTCCCCCAATCTTTTGCCTATTCCAGAAGAGCCTTCCGATGAAGGGTGAGTCATATCTATACATAAGCGAACAAATTTAACTGAATCTTTCATATGTCTTATTATAGTCTTTTTTTCTACTTTGATGAGTATTCTCTATCTGCTATGTATTTCCAAATTGTTTTTTATCCATTATTTGATTTTTATACACCAAATTCAGTAGATCAAAGGATCACGAGGCATCAAATGACGAAGCTTGTAAAAAGAAATCAAGGAAGAGAAAACGAATGAAGGCAAAGAATCATGATCTAGAGGTGAGATATTGCCTTCTCCGTGTGTGCTGCTAATGTATTTATCTGAATTGTTGGTACTTGGTATGGTACCTCGTTATATTAAGTCTGTATCTTCCTTCATTTTGAAAGCCTAGGCATCACACTGTTGAAAATTGGGTGGGTGCAAGAAATAGTAAAATTTGAATGAGAAGACCTGTCTAGTTTAAAGGCTAATGTACCACCTAAGGGAATTTTTTAAGAGAATGAGGGTAAACTGAGAAAGTTAGGAAATTTTTCAAGGACCCCAGGTGTGTTGAGCAGAGACTTTTTGAAGCTCCCAAAAGTTTCCCAATTGCATACCTAGTAAGGGTCCTGCAATCTAGGATTCTTGTCGTTGCATTACATTTTTCATTGTCCTTGTTTATGTTCAAGTTATATCTTTGTTATCATGTTCACAACTTAATTGCTGCCGCATTCCAGGAAACTTATATTGCAAATGTGGAGCATGTTAAAAGAATCAAAGAGAAGCAAGATGAAGACAAAGCTGCTGTGACACTGCATTCGTTCAAGTTGGTAGAATGATTATGTAACTCACTCAATTATTTTTCTCACATCTTCAACTTATTGTTTTTCTTATGGTGATTCAGCCCTAGTTCGAAGGTCAATGATTGTGCCATTACATCCTCAAGGACAATTGATAGGATGAAACCCCTCAGATCTGCAAGTTCAGCAGTGAAGGTTTGCTTAAGAGTTGCCTATTGTGAATGTTTTCATGCAGTCATGTTCAATTTGCTGGCTCTGACATCTCAGATGGTTGATAATATCTATGCTTTTTTTTCCCCCTCTTATGCAAACAGGTAAAGTCATCCAGCATTCAGGGCTACGTACCTGTGCACTATCCAGAAGTTGCTCTTTCCATTGAGGTTTACCATAATGCGCGAAAATGGGTGAAGGTATAGCATCCTCTAATGTGTTTTCTTGCTTATGTCAAATAGAGTAGCTTTTGGTTTTGGTGTTTGTTTGCCAATTATATGGTTCATACTAGTCAAGGTATAATGCTAGCATTTTTCGTGGGCTTCTGATTTGTAGGGTTGAAATATCTGATGTCTCTATAATTGAGATGTGTGCAAGTGCAATTCTTCATTTTTAAAAAGCTCATGCTTCATAGCAGAAACTCCAAAAACAAAGATATCCATGCTCGAACCTAGCTGGCTGAGGATGCTTTCATTCCTGAGTGGGAGCTTCTCTGTGGATTGGGATTTAATCTTTGTACAAATATGAAAGAAAGTCATGGTATGTGTAACTCTATGCTGGGAAGTTCGCAGAATTAAGCCTAAAGAACAACTGGATGTGTCCCTCCCTTTTAATCTGGAGTTGGTTTGAGTTAGCTAGGTTCTTACAGGTAGGGTTTTAGGTCCCTTGTGACTGAGTCACCTCCAATAAATTGGTAGTCCATTTCGAGTGGAGCAAGACCAAAAATTTCATCCAATAGACTTGTGATTTTTATTTTCTTCATCAGACTTGCGTTCTCTGAGCTTCTTTTTTAGTATAGTTTAGGGAAAAGATAGACCAGAAAAAAGTAGTTAGGTTTCCTTCCTTCTGTTACAGGATTTCTATTGCCTCTATGAGTCTAGGGAAAAGATGAATTAAAAGCAATTCCGAGTCATTCATGTCTTATTTATGTAGCACTCTTTTTCATTACTCAGATAATTCTTTCCTCAAGTTCCTGCTGTTATTGACAAAGTAAGATTGTTTGCAGAACCAAGAGTTCTTGGTCCTTGGACAACAAACCTTGACTGAACTGAGGGATAAGATCTACTGCTTAACGGACCATGTGATGCAAAAGGCTAAGCAGCATGACCCTTCAGGATATTTCCTTATAGAAGTAAGTAATCTATCCATTTATTGTTTATTTTCATGATCAGGATGGTATTTGCACTGAAATCTAGCATATTGCTGATCCTATGTAGGATACATTGTGCAACGATTTGAGGGATCCCTCTGCAGTAGATTATAGTGAACCTATATTTGATTGGCTTAGAAATTCTAAAGATGAAGCTCATAAAAAATGGGAATGGATTGCAGCTGGAGGATTGCAAACAAAGCAAAAAGCAGTTGTAGGCGATGTTACGGGCTCACAATTGCCTCATTTCAGAGCTGTTGACATGCACAAGACACAGTTTTGTGACTTGAAATTTCGACTTGGTGCTGGATATCTATATTGTCACCAGGTACGTATCTCTATTGCAATCTTTTCATGCCTTTCTATAAGGGAAACATTATTTTGTGCTTTACAACGTATTTTTCTGTATGTGAGAATCTTGATGAACTTTTTATGCATCTCTGTTGATGGTTGTTGATGTTGATTTGGGGAAATGATTTGAAACAGGGAGACTGCAGACATACAATTGTAATTAGAGACATGAGATTGATTCATCCACAGGATGTACAAAACAGGGCAGCCTATCCGATACTCTTATTTCAACTGAAGCCGCATATACGAAAATGTTATGTTTGTAAAATATTTAGAGCAACACAGGTGACTATAGATGACAAGTGGGCTCAGGAGAACCCCTGCTACTTCTGTGACAACTGCTATTACCTTCTTCACTACAAGGACGGTTGTTTGCTGTATGATGACTTTTCTGTACACGAGTATCGACATGATTAATCATTTTGTACGTAGAGAGTTTAGTTTCACCCGTAACGGGAAGTGGTACAAACATATCCAAGTCATACCACCATTATGGAGTCAGTTCTATGTTCGCTTTAACTACTTGAGTTACAAGTCTCTTGCGACTTAGAGTTTGCATATCATTCATCATACCACACCATTATTTAACAATGGGGGCCTACGCTCCAAGAAAATTTGTCTGTCCATATGATACATATTTGAAGTTTTCTAGTTTAGGTTATAATATAAGTATCTGTGCAAGATCTTTCTAATTAATTCATTCATTTATGCCCGTATTTTTCACATTACTTGATCTGCAAGATCTTTCGTTAAGCAACATTTTGATTAACCATGCGATGCTTCACGAGACAATTGGAAATATTAAAGCCTCCTTGGATGATTCAATTCAAATTAAGTAAAAATATAAATTTCCTCAAGTTCCTGCTGTTATTGACAAAGTAAGATTGTTTGCAGAACCAAGAGTTCTTGGTCCTTGGACAACAAACCTTGACTGAACTGAGGGATAAGATCTACTGCTTAACGGACCATGTGATGCAAAAGGCTAAGCAGCATGACCCTTCAGGATATTTCCTTATAGAAGTAAGTAATCTATCCATTTATTGTTTATTTTCATGATCAGGATGGTATTTGCACTGAAATCTAGCATATTGCTGATCCTATGTAGGATACATTGTGCAACGATTTGAGGGATCCCTCTGCAGTAGATTATAGTGAACCTATATTTGATTGGCTTAGAAATTCTAAAGATGAAGCTCATAAAAAATGGGAATGGATTGCAGCTGGAGGATTGCAAACAAAGCAAAAAGCAGTTGTAGGCGATGTTACGGGCTCACAATTGCCTCATTTCAGAGCTGTTGACATGCACAAGACACAGTTTTGTGACTTGAAATTTCGACTTGGTGCTGGATATCTATATTGTCACCAGGTACGTATCTCTATTGCAATCTTTTCATGCCTTTCTATAAGGGAAACATTATTTTGTGCTTTACAACGTATTTTTCTGTATGTGAGAATCTTGATGAACTTTTTATGCATCTCTGTTGATGGTTGTTGATGTTGATTTGGGGAAATGATTTGAAACAGGGAGACTGCAGACATACAATTGTAATTAGAGACATGAGATTGATTCATCCACAGGATGTACAAAACAGGGCAGCCTATCCGATACTCTTATTTCAACTGAAGCCGCATATACGAAAATGTTATGTTTGTAAAATATTTAGAGCAACACAGGTGACTATAGATGACAAGTGGGCTCAGGAGAACCCCTGCTACTTCTGTGACAACTGCTATTACCTTCTTCACTACAAGGACGGTTGTTTGCTGTATGATGACTTTTCTGTACACGAGTATCGACATGATTAATCATTTTGTACGTAGAGAGTTTAGTTTCACCCGTAACGGGAAGTGGTACAAACATATCCAAGTCATACCACCATTATGGAGTCAGTTCTATGTTCGCTTTAACTACTTGAGTTACAAGTCTCTTGCGACTTAGAGTTTGCATATCATTCATCATACCACACCATTATTTAACAATGGGGGCCTACGCTCCAAGAAAATTTGTCTGTCCATATGATACATATTTGAAGTTTTCTAGTTTAGGTTATAATATAAGTATCTGTGCAAGATCTTTCTAATTAATTCATTCATTTATGCCCGTATTTTTCACATTACTTGATCTGCAAGATCTTTCGTTAAGCAACATTTTGATTAACCATGCGATGCTTCACGAGACAATTGGAAATATTAAAGCCTCCTTGGATGATTCAATTCAAATTAAGTAAAAATATAAAGGTTTTATTGCCATTACCATTTTATTACAAAGCTGCTAAAACTAGGACTAGAAATGAGAATGAAAACCCATCTCCTTTGGGGAATGTATATGGGTTTTTGTTTCTTTGATCATAGAAATGTATAACGGTTTTAAAACCCATGAAAACGGAAAACCCACCCTTCTCATGTTCATATGGGTTTTCCCCTGTAGGATACATTGTGCTCTAACCAAACATGAGGAGAAGAATCTCGTACTCATTTCCAAGCTTGTTTCCGTGCAGAGGAAAAAAAGAAATCACCCGGTGCATGTATTAGATTATATTACAGCATATGAAGAAGTTGGGAAATCTTAATCGACTACAGATTTATTGGGCAAGAAGAGTTTCCAGTCTTACAAAAGATGACAATTCTAACATGATTCACAACTCACATCACCTTCAACATGTATTAGATTACTTTTCAACAAGATATCGACTGCTAACTTCTAAGCCTCAACTATTGAAGAAAAAAATTGAAGGGAAGATGATAGAAGAAAGACAAGAGGAGTGGGGAAAAAGAAGTAAAAATCTCAAAATGATACAAACATCATACATTTCAGAACATTATACCCACTCCTTTGGGTTGATGCAAGCATCTAACAGTTTCCATTCTTCACTTCCCTCTTCTGGTTTCTGCACAGCAAACAATAAGATTGCTCTCAATTATGAGTTCAAAACTTCAAGGCGTTCCATTTTTCAGTAGTACCAGAAATAAATTATCGTACAGAGAAAACCAGTAAGCTTACATGGTCATATTCCCACCGAGCAGTCAGTGGAAGAGAGACAAGAATACTCTCAATTCGACCTCCTGTCTTTAGTCCAAAAGTTGTTCCACGATCATAAACCTTTTGTTTAAAAGAAAACAGAAATTAGGCCTCATTTACATATGAATTGCTGATATGAATTTCACTAACATCTTCAGGGCTCATTTTCATACCAAATTGAATTCGACATAGCGCCCTCTTCGCAATTGCTGCCATGCCTTTTGCTGATCCGTAAACGGTAGATCCTTCCTTTTCTCTATAATTGGTACGTAAGCAGGGACCACAGAATTTGCACATTCTTCAAGTCAACGGAAATGCATGCAGGAAGTGGATGCAGTCACTCAACTAGTGGGAAATAATTAACGGAAAATACAACCAAAAATAAAAGAAGATTCTATATTTCCAAGCAATACCAGTGGCAAAGGAAAGAAGCATCTCCTGATCATAGTCATTTAGATCATCAAAAAATATTCCTCCAAGCCCTCGCCTCTCATCTCGATGCTGCATACAGAAATGATCTATGTACCATCAACACCATGTTACAAATTTATAACACATAACAATTAAAAAAGTTCAGTAAGAGAGGTTTTATTGCCATTACCATTTTATTACAAAGCTGCTAAAACTAGGACTAGAAATGAGAATGAAAACCCATCTCCTTTGGGAAATGTATATGGGTTTTTGTTTCTTTGATCATAGAAATGTATAACGGTTTTAAAACCCATGAAAACGGAAAACCCACCCTTCTCATGTTCATATGGGTTTTCCCCTGTAGGATACATTGTGCTCTAACCAAACATGAGGAGAAGAATCTCGTACTCATTTCCAAGCTTGTTTCCGTGCAGAGGAAAAAAAGAAATCACCCGGTGCATGTATTAGATTATATTACAGCATATGAAGAAGTTGGGAAATCTTAATCGACTACAGATTTATTGGGCAAGAAGAGTTTCCAGTCTTACAAAAGATGACAATTCTAACATGATTCACAACTCACATCACCTTCAACATGTATTAGATTACTTTTCAACAAGATATCGACTGCTAACTTCTAAGCCTCAGCTATTGAAGAAAAAAATTGAAGGGAAGATGATAGAAGAAAGACAAGAGGAGTGGGGAAAAAGAAGTAAAAATCTCAAAATGATACAAACATACATTTCAGAACATTATACCCACTCCTTTGGGTTGATGCAAGCATCTAACAGTTTCCATTCTTCACTTCCCTCTTCTGGTTTCTGCACAGCATACAATAAGATTGCTCTCAATTATGAGTTCAAAACTTCAAGGCGTTCCATTTTTCAGTAGTACCAGAAATAAAGTACCGTACAGAGAAAACCAGTAAGCTTACATGGTCATATTCCCACCGAGCAGTCAGTGGAAGTGAGACAAGAATACTCTCAATTCGACCTCCCGTCTTTAGTCCAAAAGTTGTTCCACGATCATAAACCTTTTGTTTAAAAGAAAACAGAAATTAGGCCTCATTTACATATTAATTGCTGATACGAATTTCACTAACATTTTCAGGGCTCATTTTCATACCAAATTGAATTCAACATAGCGCCCTCTTCGCAATTGCTGCCATGCCTTTTGCTGATCCGTAAATGGTAGATCCTTCCTTTTCTCTATAATTGGTACGTAAGCAGGGACCACAGAATTTGCACATTCTTCAAGTCAACGGAAGTGCATGCAGGAAGTGGATGCAGTCACTCAACTAGTAGGAAATAATTAATGGAAAATACAACCAAAAAAACAAGAAGATTCTATATTTCCAAGCAATACCAGTGGCAAAGGAAAGAAGCATCTCCTGATCATAGTCATTTAGATCATCAAAAAATATTCCTCCAAGCCCTCGCCTCTCATCTCGATGCTGCATACAGAAATGATCTATGTACCATCAACACCATATTACAAATTTATAACACATAACAATTAAAAAGGTTTAGTAAGAAATATACCTTGATATAGAAATAATCATCACACCATTTCTTGAACCGAGGATAGAAGGTAGGATCAAATTTGTCGCAAGCACTTTTCTGGACCTACAGAAGAAGGCCAACACCACTATACAGTTAGTTAAAGCCACAGAATTTTTCAAAAGAAGTGGGACTTTAATCACAAAACACCATAAGGGATGTTGTCTGTTTTGTTTTACATACTGAATGAAAATGCTTAACATCCTCCTCAAAAATATAAGCAGGTGTCAAGTCAGTTCCGCCACCAAACCACCATTGCCTAGGTGCTCCAGGAGCATCTGCATAAATGTGACGAATCGGGATAGAGTCCAAAGAGCTTTCTGATTCATGAATTATTTATACACGAGTGATATAAGGAAATGCATGGAACAAGGGAAAAAGAAAATTATTAGTGATATGATATCTGCCTCATCTTCTCTACCACATCACTGACTGAACACTTTCCAGATACTGACGAGAAGAAATATCTTATCCCTATAGTTAATCTTATTATTGTTTCTACTATCACAACTGCTAGTATTATTATCAGCATTGCAACTATCATTATTACTGATTGTTAATCAACCCATAAAGGGAAGTAATCAGAATCTCAACATATCATTTCTAGCATGTGAGCATAATCTAGTGCCCGTCAAAGTATTTTTTCTGGGTTTAACAGTTTTCATCATAATAACATGTACACTTTTATATCCAAATTTAACCTTTACCTTTCCCAATCTTTGATATCCTTGGTTTTGCATTATTCAACACAAGCATGACATAAAATGCTGAACTCATTTAGAGATCATCTACTTCATTAGTAATACCACCAAAGCTGGGTTCAAGCCTGCCTACCTACCTACCTACAAACGCAACCTAACTAAGCAATGTGCAATCCACAGCAAAGAAATGAGAAATGATCACATTCATACCTTGCGGAGCATCAGTTTCGAAATACCGATAATTGAAATGCAAAGTAGGTGCAAAAGGGTTCTTTGGATGCAAAACCTGAAAACAATCACAACCAAACCGCAGCCCCATATATTATACAAACAAAATAAAAACCCAACATTTTCTTCTTCTTTCTTTTTTCACAAAACGAGCAGAACTCACGAAATTACCGAGCTAATTCCGGAGGCGAAGAAAGGAACCGGGCCCGGCTTGTGATCAGCTGCGGCGGCGCCCTTGGCAGCTCGGTATGCCTCGGGAGGCATAACGCCGTAGACAACAGAGACATTGACACCGGCCTTCTCCCAAACGGCGCCGTCTTGGAGGACAACCGAGGATAGAAGGTAGGATCAAATTTGTCGCAAGCACTTTTCTGGACCTACAGAAGAAGGCCAACACCACTATACAGTTAGTTAAAGCCACAGAATTTTTCAAAAGAAGTGGGACTTTAATCACAAAACACCATAAGGGATGTTGTCTGTTTTGTTTTACATACTGAATGAAAATGCTTAACATCCTCCTCAAAAATATAAGCAGGTGTCAAGTCAGTTCCGCCACCAAACCACCATTGCCTAGGTGCTCCAGGAGCATCTGCATAAATGTGACGAATCAGGATAGAGTCCAAAGAGCTTTCTTATTCATAAATTATTTATACACGAGTGATATAAGGAAATGCATGGAACAAGGGAAAAAGAAAATTATTAGTGATACGATATCTGCCTCATCTTCTCCACCACATCACTGATTGAACACTTTCCAGATACTGACGAGAAGAAATATCTTATCCCTATAGTTAATCTTATTATTGTTTCTACTATCACAACTGCTAGTATTATTATCAGCATTGCAACTATCATTATTACTGATTGTTAATCAACCCATAAAGGGAAGTAATCAGAATCTCAACATATCATTTCTAGCATGTGAGCATAATCTAGTGCCCGTCAAAGTATTTTTTCTGGGTTTAACAGTTTTCATCATAATAACATGTACACTTTTATATCCAAATTTAACCTTTACCTTTCCCAATCTTTGATATCCTTGGTTTTTCATTATTCAACACAAGCATGACATAAAATGCTGAACTCATTTAGAGATCATCTACTTCATTAGTAATACCAACAAAGCTGGGTTCAAGCCTGCCTACCTACCTACCTACAAACGCAACCTAACTAAGCAATGTGCAATCCACAGCAAAGAAATGAGAAATGATCACATTCATACCTTGCGGAGCATCAGTTTCGAAATACCGATAATTGAAATGCAAAGTAGGTGCAAAAGGGTTCTTTGGATGCAAAACCTGAAAACAATCACAACCAAACCGCAGCCCCATATATTATACAAACAAAATAAAAACCCAACATTTTCTTCTTCTTTCTTTTTTCACAAAACGAGCAGAACTCACGAAATTACCGAGCTAATTCCGGAGGCGAAGAAAGGAACCGGGCCCGGCTTGTGATCAGCTGCGGCGGCGCCCTTGGCAGCTCGGTATGCCTCGGGAGGCATAACGCCGTAGACAACAGAGACATTGACACCGGCCTTCTCCCAAACGGCGCCGTCTTGGAGGACCCTGCTGATGCCTCCACCGCCACCGGGCCTCGACCACACGTCCTCTTTAAAGGTGGCACCGCCGTCCGCGGCCTCAATGGCGGCGCAGACGGTGTCTTGGGCTTCCCTTATCATCTTCTCGAAGCGGGCCCGCACGGAGGACGAAGAGGAGTTGGCGCGGAGGAAGGTGTCGGGCCGCTGGGCCTCCGGGGTCTCTTTCTCGATGACGGTACATCGGACGGTGGAGGAGGGAACTGAGTGAAGGGAATGGTGACGTGGGTTGATTGTGAAGGAGTGTCTTTTGGGGGAGAAAGGAGGGAACTTTGGTTTTGGGGAGGGAGAGGGAGAGAGAAGAGTGAAGGAAGATGAAGCTGAGAGAGTGGCTGGTGGTGGCATTGTGGGTTTTGCGAGGAAAAAAATTTCAAGTACAATTCAAAGGCTGTGTGTCTTTCTCACATAGGAATTGAGAGAGAGATGGGGATATGAATTTGGGATAAGGTGCTCAGTCAAACCAAACCCAGATACGCAGATTGTTTAAGCCCACTGTATTATCATCAAATTTTACTGTGGGGGCTTGGTCTTTTACTGTTGGCCAATTTTTAAGGTCAATTTTGGCACCAAAGTTGAGCCCTACACTCCATACTTGCATAACATTGCTTCATTCACCCGGATTTTTTTCCTTTTTTGACAAAAACTGAGTGTCCAAGTCCAAATGATAAACCAAAGAAGACCAACTACAATTCTTGTACTAAAAGCATAGTTCCTTTTTTTTTTTTTTTCCCTTCTTTTATGTTATTATGAGTTCTCATATATGAGAAAATTTTACCAATATTGGGTTGTGGCATTATCCCGAGCCAATCACCCATTGTTATGTGTTGATATGACAATACACAGAGCCGGTCTTGAATTTTACAGGGCCCAAGGCAAATGTAAAAAATTAGACCTCTAAGCTATGTATTTATATAACATTTTTTTTTTCACTTAAGTGCTAGACTCATTCTCATTTTTCAATCAATATTTAACTTATTCGAATTAACTAAAAATTTAACATTCAAAACAAATAAATTATATAAATTCAAATTTCAATATATAAAAATCTAAAATAAGAGGTTACGCTTGATACATTCAAATATAATGCATAAACAAGTAAATATTCATAATAATACATGACAGACTTGAAATAACTTAGCATCGCTATTACATGTAAGTTTTCTCCTCACATAGCGTATGTTGCTCAATATTGTAACCCAAATAAATTTTGTCAATTACTTTAATTAATTCAGTAAATACAACGTTTTTTTACCAAGGGCTAGTTTGGCATTGTTGTGCTGTGAAAATAATCGCGATTAGATTTGCTGTAAGAAAATCAGCTATGAGATAAAACAGTTTGGCGTTTGGTAAACTTTTTGTTAATAGTGTTATTAGTATTGATTCCCGCATAATCAAAAAATAATTCCCACATAATCATTAAACCCAATGCCTCTTCGAAATTGATTCCCACATAATCAGAAAACGAAAGCAACTCATTAGGTGCTTTCTCTTACATTAATTTTTAACAATAAGTGATTTTCTCATAGGTTAATAAATGGGTTGGCCTTCTAAATTTTTTTTTAAAATCATTTATCACCCCAAGCAATGCTAAAACCGTCACTAAACGTATTCATTTTCTGCCGGGAAAAAAAGAACAAAAAGCAGTGTTTTATATGCTTGAATAACTTCCGGACTATAAAATCGGTATCATCGTCTTCATCATCACATCCCTCTGTATCTCTCTCTGTAAATTCATTCCAATTCGATAGAAATGGAAATATCGGCGGAGCCCATAAGAGTTCAAAGCTTAGCCCAAGCAGGCCTCAACCAAGTCCCGCCCCAATACATTCAACCTCCCCAGCACCGACCCAATCGACCTTCTTCTTCAACCAACATTCCGCTCATCAACCTTTTCGGCCTCGACCCGACCCGACGTGATTCTGTTCGGGCCTCAATCGGGCAAGCCTGCCGGGACTGGGGCGCCTTCCACATCACCAACCACGGCGTTCCTGCCAGCATAGTCGACGCCATCAAGCGCGTGGGCCTCACCTTCTTCAACGACAGCTCAGTCGAAGACAAACTCAAGTATGCGTGCGATCCGAGCTCGTCGGCGTCGGAGGGCTACGGCAGCCGGATGCTGGAGAAGGACGACACCGTTTTGGACTGGAGGGACTACTTCGACCACCACACCCTCCCCCTCCGGCGCCGGAACCCCACGCGATGGCCCCATTTCCCCGCAGATTACCGCCAGGTGGTTTCCGAGTACAGCGATCGAATTGCTTCGCTGGCGCGAGAGCTGCTGGGGCTGGCGTCCGAGAGCCTGGGGCTTAACACGCGGCGTTTAGAGGAGGCGGTTGGGGAGTTTTGGCAGAACATTACGATCAGCTATTACCCGCCGTGTCCTCAGCCTGAGCTGACTTTGGGCCTGCAGGCCCATTCGGATTTTGGTGCGATTACGCTGTTGGTCCAGGACGAGGTGGGTGGGCTTGAGGTGCTTAAAGACGGAGAGTGGGTTCCTGTGAAGCCTTTGGGTGGTGATGCCATTGTTGTTCTTCTAGCTGACCAGACCGAGGTACCTTATCATCTATCAAACATCAAACGAACACCTTCTTATTCTTCTTTTAGCTGACCAAACTATGAAAAATTTGCAGTATTCATTTTTATAAAGAAATGAGCTACATTGGTTAAACAAGTTCTTTTGTAATAAAGTTGAAAACTTTTGTTTTTTTTTTTTGGTAACTGAAAACTTTTGTTGAATATTAAAGAAATGAGCTAAATTGGTGAGAAAGAAAGGAGGGCAGTATAAATTAGAATGCAGTGAGTTTAACTTATCTTGAACAGTGTCAAATTGCTATGATCAACTTTGTTTGTTATGACTTTGTATTAGTCTATTCAAAGATTCGAAGGATTTTCTGAAATAAAATAGGCATGGAGAAGTGTCTTGTACTGTGCCTTCTTTAATTTTATTATTAATAAGAGAAGTTGAGTCGTTGTCAGTTGATGCTTATGCCTTCTTAAATATATTCAGTCCATTACCATGATGCTTTGGAATTATCATTTGCTGAATCACATTTTGTCCAGATAAAAATATGCTTGAATCCCAGGAAACTCTCAGTGGATGAATCGTGATGAGTGTTTTTCATGGTATTCTTTTAGCTTTTAGGCTTCTCGATGATTTTGAATTGAACAAGTGGTACTGGTAGCAATATGTTATATTATGTCTAGAGACTTAAACGTTTTGCCATCTTAAATATATTCAGTCCATTACCATGATGCTTTGGAATTATCATTTGCTGAATCACATTTTGTCCAGATAAAAATATGCTTGAATCCCAGGAAACTCTCAGTGGATGAATCGTGATGAGTGTATTTCATGGTATTCTTTGAGCTTTTAGGCTTCTCGATGATACTGAATTGAATCAAGTGGTACTGGTAGCAACATGTTATATTATGTCTAGAGACTTAAACGTTTTTGTCTGGGTAGTTGTGCTTATCTGTCGGTCTTGGCCAGGCTTCTGATCGTTTTTGTTTTATATTTGCTTGACGTATTGATTTTCGGCCTGTTATTATAGTATTCGTTTGAGGGGACCTGAGGACAAGCTGACTAAGTAACCTCATTTTTGTTTTCTTTGGTTTGGTTTTTGTTCATTCTTGGCCAATTAGGACAAATGGTTTGAGAATAAACATAGGTTAATATGGCTCTACGTTGACTGTATGTGTAGCCAACCAAGTTAAGACCTACTGCATTGTATATGTGCTCTTAGTTGCTGTTGGTCAATTAGGACAAATGGTTTGAGAATAAACATAGGTTAATATGGCTCTACGTTGACTGTATGTGTAGCCAACCAGGTTAAGACCTACTGCTTTGTATATGTGCTCTTAGTTGCTGTGGGTCATAACATACTAAAAAATTCACATGTTGCTAAATCTGTCAGTCTATAAGGAGTCACACTGTATATCATAGGCCTGCTTTTACACTTCGTGCAAGGGTTAAGCCATAATTTTCTTAAGCACTTTATTTTGTCTTCAATGAAGCTGCTAATTGTTTGATGTCATTGACAACCACTATTTCTAAACATTGGCATAACATCAACCCTCAGTTTTACTTATTTTTCTATCGCTTTTCATTGTTCTTATATGATTTGGTTAGGGATATTAAGTTTGGGTCCCATGGAACACATTGAGGCTTGGTCATTGTCCTTTCTGATTTGTCGTAATAATTGGCTTTAACTTAGATCACAAATAACTGTGACATGTAGAGGAACCTCTAATTAATCCAACCACTACGAAACTGACTTTCACTGTTGGGTTTGGCTTTGGATCAATACTCAAAGGTACTGATTTAAGTGGTTCAGTTTTGGGATTGTACCAAGTGGACTTGAGCTGAGACGATCTGAAACTAAAAAATGCAGTGCTTAAGGCTTATACCTATCAATGCCTTCTCTCTAAGCTGATAATCGAATCGCCAACATGTGCTTTACAGGATTCTTGTCATTCTTTGGATCTAAGTGCATTTCTTTCATAGGATTTGTTTTGTAGAATGAAATTAATTGAACAAGTGGAGCAATAATATGAATTATGTTTATTCTCTAACAGTGGATTATCTTGCCTGCAGATAATGACCAATGGGAAGTACAGGAGTGCTCAACATAGGGCTCTAACCAATTCCAATCAGGCACGGCTCTCAGTTGCTACATTTCATGATCCAGCCAAGACAGCAAAAGTATCCCCTGCTTCTGAGCTTACCAGTGCGTCGACTCCTCCCCTCTACCGGGAAGTTGTTTATGGAGATTATGTGTCATCGTGGTACACAAAGGGCCCAGAAGGAAAACGGAATATCGATGCCCTCCAGCTTGAACCTTGATCGTTAGTTGGAAAACCCTCATTTCCCCAACTTGCCAACACCTTGCATTCTAGAATGGAAGTAGAGCCACTGTCATCAGTATTTTAGCCTGGGACTTTGGTTTTGGGAGGATAGCATAGTCTTTCTAATCCATACCACACCTTTAACAATGCATAATTCTGTTCAACATGTACATGAATTGGTTAGTTGATTGCATTAGTGAAAATGCTTTTTCTAACTGCCAATGTGAATTCAAGTATAATTGGGGGTGTTCTTGTGCACCATCTTGCTTTAGCTGCAAGTGTTGTTTTTCGCTTTCTTCATGGACTGATTTGGAATTTAAACAGAAAGATGGACGGCAAATTCAAAGTGTTTCCATGGAAATAGTTCTAAATATTGAATCTAGATATTGTGAATTATGTTTGGATTGCCATTAGAATAAAAAATTGAAAACGTCAAAATGATTATGGAAGCAAAGAAATACAACCATAAGCAATGAAATACAACCATAATTAAATCAACCCATGATATGACTAAACTGACCCAAACCAAATGATTTAACAAAATATTTGAAAGAATTTGACAGAAGTAAAGAAAATAATCTATGAGAAAAAATTCCAAATCATCAAAGAACAGAATTATGAATAAAGTATCTTCAATTAGAAATAATAACCATTAGCATATGAGTTATAAATTTATTTATAGCCCCCCATTCTGCCGTCCGAGAACCAAAACAAAAAAAACCCCACCATTTGAAATGAATATTATTTTCTTTTGAACACGGTCCCAAAAACTTCTGACTCCCCCAACCTTCTTCCTTGTTCTCTTCCTATTATCCCTATCTGTCTTTGACAGAGAGGGCAAGCCTCCATTGGAGCCTTTTAAAGCTCCGATTCCTCGAAACAAACACTCAAATCCAATTCAATCCAATCACCACCAAAAACCCAGATGAAGCGGTACAGGAATGGCGAAGTCTGGGACTTTGAGAACCAAATGCCGGTGGCCGCCGGCGCCGGAGACGTCATCTTGGGTGTAGACGGCGGCACCACCTCCACCGTCTGCATTTGCATGCCGATTTTGCCCTTCTCTGACCCTCTCCCCGACCCAGTTCCCGTTCTTGCTCGAGCAGTCGCCGGTTGCACCAACCACAACAGCGTTGGCGGTAATTGTTCTTCTGTTCATGGTTTATCAGTTGATCGCAACTGTTTTGATTTTTGTATCTGATCTAATTGAATAACTTGTTGTTAAACCTTAGAGGCTGCTGCAAGGGAAACATTGGAGCAGGTGATGGCTGAAGCGCTGGCCAAGTCCGGTTCGAACCGGTCGGCGGTTCGAGCTGTTTGTTTGGCGGTTTCTGGTGTCAACCATCCCACTGATCAGCAGAGGATATTAGATTGGCTTAGGTATTACTTTCAAGTCTCTATGATGGCACATTGTTCCCGTCTGTGTTTTTAAAAAATATTTATTTTACTTTAAAAGTTATTTACTTGTTGGGTGCTTACCCTTGTGGGTTTTGGCACATATCAATCTCTGATTAATGTTTAGTACTGAAAGCTTTAATCTTGTCTTGATGTGAACAGGGATGTATTCCCCAGCAATGCAAGGTTGCATGTTCATAATGATGCTGTGGCAGCTCTAGCTTGTGGGACTTTGGGAAAACTTCATGGGTGTGTTCTAATTGCTGGCACGGGGACCATTGCATATGGGTTCACAGAAGACGGTAGAGAAGCTCGGGCAGCTGGCGCAGGACCTACCTTAGGTGATTGGGGAAGGTATAGCCTTGTTGCTCGGTTCTTTAGTTTCCTATTTCTAGCTCTGTCCCCGAGATGCTTCTACTTTAATGAAGGTGGTTCCTTGTTGTCATTGGAGGTTTCCTACATCTTTTGTATCTAGGTCACCTTAACCATCAAGTACATGAAATGATATAAGGGTTGTAAGAAGAAACAGTCACTGGGAAAAAGACTTCCACTTTTACTCACTTCTTGATTATATGTTTTGAATTAATCTTACTGTTGAAATCCCGTAAAATTCTTTCTATTTTCATTGTTGATTTTCCCTTTCCTGCTCATCATTTTGCATTAAACTTTATAAATTGACGATTTGAACTCCCCAGCAGTATGATTGTGATCCATCTATATTCTACAGTTGCTCCCTGCCTGATAATGTTGTGCTTTAATTTTAAGATTTCATGGCCATGTATAAATCAATCAATGTGTCAAATAAACTTAATATCACTTTTTGAGTAGTATTCTGGTAGTTTCTGGCATTCAGGATGTGGGCGTCTTTTTTACGATATCCGTCTTTTTCCTTTCCCAGAAGTTTTTACTGAAGGTAATGTTCTTTTTACTTGCAGTGGTTACGGAATAGCTGCACAGGCATTAACCGCTGTGGTAAGGGCCCATGATGGTCGTGGTCCACATACAATGCTTATGTCTAGTATTTTAGGGAAGCTTGGTCTTTCTTCTCCAGATGAACTCATCGGGTATCTATCTGAAACTTATAATTGTCATCATCACATATATTGGTGAAGTTACTAGTTGTCATTTTGGGATCTTACAGTCTGCAGCCAATCTTTAAGGCAGTTTTGGCGAAAATAAATGACAAGGTTTGTTCCATCAATCTGTAAATTCGTTTGTCTGCAATCCCTCAAATGGTGTTGGTTAAGTGATGCAAATATGTGGGAAGTTCCACTTATTGTAGTAGCTAAAATCTGGTATAGATGTGAATGATCTAAGTTCTCTGGTTCCATTGGCATGCAAACTTTTTATATCTTGAGATTATTCTTCTTAGATTACGTGGTTTTATCTGCACCTCTATGTGAGAGGAGTCAAAAGTCGGTCGCATCTCACATAGGGATGTGGAAAAAACCCCATTGATCTTAAAATTGCAATTATTGTATCTTTTCCATTGAATTTGTCATGCATTCTTGATTGGAATATGTTTCATTTAAAGGGTATGTGGTATTTTGTATGTCTCTGTGAACCTTCTTGAGGAAAATGAATTGAGAACCTTGATACAAATGAGTATCCGGGATGTAATTGTATGGGGTATCAGATAACCACTATAATTTTCTATTGGATTTCAGGTGGACCTATGCAGATCCATCTTGGGCTCGCATTGCAGCACTTGTTCCAGTTGTTGTATATTGTGCAATTGCTGGTGATGAGGTTGCAAATAAGATCTTGTTTGATTCAGTCGAGGAGTTGAGATTGAGTGTGAAAGCTGTTGTTCAAAGACTTGGCTTGTGTGGTCCAGGTGTGACATACTGAACAAAAAACTGAAAAAAATTAAAGGAATTCTTTTTTGGATTTGTGTGATGTATAATAGGTCATGAGGTTATGCATGGCTTCATAAAATATTAATCATTTAGTGGTAGGGTAGTGATACTATTTAAATATGCAGTTGCAAAAAAGAAATGCTTAATAAACTGCATACAGGGAGCAGGAAAGTTATTGCTATTCCTTACTGGCTTATTTTATTTTCGAGTGTTTTGCCCTTGTGCTATACCCATTCCTTCTACTTATGGTGTTGTATTATTGCTGTGCTCATGATGGATATTCTATATGTGTATCAGATTCGAGTTTATATAGTGCCTTGCAATAATTGAAAGGTAGGGAGTCCCTACTCTGCATACTTATTTCATTTTTTGTTTAAAATAATTGCAGAGGGAAAAGATTCTTTTCCCCTTGTCATGGTTGGCGGTGTTCTTGATGAAAATAAGAGGTGGGATATAGGAGAGGAAGTCATTAAATGCATCTCCAAGGACTACCCCGGGGCAGTTCCTATTAGGCCGAAGGTAAGCATATTTTATGCCTCACTTCAATAAACTTTTGATATTTGAAGCAAATGAGATTTAAAGGGTGAGCCTGCTACTTTCCATAGATGGCTTCTTGAGTACAGTTACTATTGGCGGGCTTCCCTATCTTGGATAAAAAGGAAAAGTGTCTTCATGTCAAACGATAATTAGAGGGTAGATGAAAAGTGGACAGCACACAAATAGACTAAGGAAGGAACAATAATCAATTAGAAGATACTAATTGTTTCTATAATTTATCAAAAGTCCTACTAACGACCAAGTTAGCAACCCATATGCTTGTGTACACAGATGTTATTTTGTGGAATTTCTGGTTTGCTCTTTTACAATGCTGCTGTATTTGTTTTCTTGAATCACCATCAGGTAGAGCCTGCAGTTGGAGCAGCATTGGTAGCATGGAATTTTTGCATGAAAGAATCTCTTGAGAATGCCTTCAAAAGCTGACTCCGACTGTTGTTGATTTTATAGTTTATGAATTGTATAGTGGAAAGGATCAATGATGAAGTGAAAGGAAAACAAGCTGCTCGAAATTGAAAATGAAATCATCATCAATATATAAATTCTTTTGGTTAAGAAATCAATCTGAAGTGTTGGTAGGCTAATTCTATGAATATACCACTTTGTCAATTTCTGATACTGTCTTAGCTTTGCATGTAAAAGTATCTCCATCAATAGTGAAGTAAAGAATGATTTCAAGTGTGCCAAAAGCGCCTTGTGTGCTTTTTTTGCCTGCTCCATTTTTCTAGCGTCCATGCCCTTCTGTTTTCCCCAACTGAAACCTAGTGTTCAGTCCTAAACCTGTATACACCATATTGCCTCAGCCTCATTTGGAACAAATTGAGCAATGTCAGAAGAACCATATTTTCTGATCTTTCATCTTAAAATTCCTTATTAAACTTTTTTTGGTGTAAAACTGACATAATTGGCATTTTATATACATTCTGATTGACAAAAATGACATAATTAGTGTTTCATACATGCTTTTTAAACTTAAAACGCAATATCGAGTTCATCTTCAGATTATTGCTTTCCATGTTTTTGTAAGCTGCTCACCGAACGCGATTTAGCAGTGTTTGCTGTGTGGAAAACAAAAACTGGTGCAAGCAAAACATTACCGAACGACCCCTTTCATAAGCAAGAGTTATACACATGGCAGGAACACCAATTCCGCTTTCTTTTGGAAGAAAGTTGTAACGCTCTTGGCATGCAGCAAAGGCCTAACCCAGCGAAGAGATAGGGACCATGCAAAGGCTGCTTAAGCTTCATAACGGCTTCTGCTACACCAATAATCCCCCTCATGATTTTGGATATATCTTCTAGTGGCAACTATAAATACCCTTCAAACCTTACCCATCAAAACCACAACTTAAACTTCCATACCTGAACAATTAAGCTCAACATTAAGTCAATTAGCAAACGTTGTAGCACTCCATCGATCTCAAACTCAAACGTACAAAAAACAGAAAAGAAAATGAAGGGTGTTGTTATAGCTTTAGTGATAGTGGTGGTGGCCATGTTGGTCTTGGTTAAACCGGGGCAGGCCACAGTCACTTGCCAACAAGTGGTGTCATCTGTCGCTCCCTGCGTTCCATATCTCACCAGTGGCACTGGTAGCCCACCCACGGTGTGTTGCAATGGGGTTTCGGGTCTGAAACAGCTCGCTTCAACCACCAAAGACAGGCGTGCAGCCTGCCAATGCCTCAAGGACGTCGCAGATCACTACCAAAACATTAAGGAAGACGTCGCAGCTAGTCTCCCCACTGCGTGTAAAGTCCAAATCAACGTTCCCATTTCTAGGAGTGTCAATTGCAACGAGTAAGTAATTTTTGTATGCACTGCATCGATATACAACTGCTGTATACAACCCCTATGATCACCTCATTAGCACGTGAGAGGTGAAATGTGAGAACATTACTAATGTTCCTTTGTTTCTCTATGCAGTGTGCAGTAAAAATCAAGGCAACTACAGATGGAAGTTAAAATAAAGAGAGAAGCATGGGGGATGCTTCTATCTTCTCAACGGCTACACCTAGCTTTTGGTTGAATGTGGTCAAGATATGGTTCTCACTAGAGAGCCATGCTACTTAGTTTATTCAAGCTACCCGTTATGTATGAGATAATATTGTCTTCTAATAAAATAAGAAATTTTAAATATCTGTTGCAGATCTCTCTCTCTCTCTCTCTCACGGATGGAGAAAAACTTAGTTGCAACATGATAGTACTGTTTTATTATATCCGGCCAATAATACTATGTCACGTAGAAATGTTATCACGCATGTCATAGCATTATTGACACGCGTATATGCTACCCGTTATGTATGAGATAATATTGTCTTCTAATAAAATAAGAAATTTTAAATATCTGTTGCAGATCTCTCTCTCTCTCATGGATGGAGAAAAACTTAGTTGCAACATGATAATACTGTTTTATTATATCCGGCTAATAATACCATGTCACGTAGAAATGTTATCACGCATGTCATAGTATTATTGACACGTATATAATTTACAAGAAAAATACAAAAGTCTTTTAACATTAATTTGTGGCAGCTAGGATTGAAGTGACAATTGAGGTTGTAAATGCTTGATAGATGACACATGGAACTATAACCAGAAACCATAAGAACCTACTAATAATTAATGCAGCAAACCTTCCAAGGAAGTTGCCAAATGTGGGCACACATGGGGACGTTCTATTAAATGTAAAGACATTTCAACTCAAACCATGCACAAATTAAGTCTCCCAAACTGACATTTAAGGAAGTTAGATCAAAAGCTTTATGGAGAAAACAATAAGAGAGTTCACTATAAATGTAATTTAACTTATTTCAATTTCAAAACTATTTAATTCATAAGGAGAAACCAATGATAACCAAATCATCTTTTCCCTTTTATGAAATAAAAATGAAAATTTTCCAAAAGCCAACATGAAAAAGATTGGCAATTTCCAAAAGAGGAATAAAGGGAAAATTGAATGGTAGGGGAGAAAAATAGAAGGAAAAAAGGGCCTAGAGAGAGAGGGTAATGGCCAAGATTGCAAAAAGGGGAAAAAGGCTAGGGTAAAATAGGGAGAGAGGTTAGATTTTTGGTCCTTCTATTTCTATTTGCTTCTGACAGCTATCCCTATGAACATTACATTACCCCACCAGCAATAATTACCACTGTATTAATTGATCGTAGACCAAACAAGCCCTCAACGGAGACCAATAAAGCTTCTCTCACCCAAACTCTCTCTCTATCTTTCTCTCTCAAGCTTCACAAGCAGCAGACCAAGCTAAAGCTCAGCTCTTTTGGCAGTCAAATCGGTGCTTCTGAAAATGTCACTCTCAGCTCAGTAAGAGTTCTCTCATTCTCTGTTCAAGCTTACTTGCTAAGTTACTGTTCAATTTCTGAGATCTGGGTAGTCTAGGGTTTCTGTGGAGCTTGCAAGTGTTCATAAATTTCTGAGCTTGGAGGTGTCAGTTAGGGGTTTAGGGTTCTTATTAGGGTAAATGTGGTGGGTTTTGGTAGGGTGAAGAAGATCTGGGGCGCATGAGGGTGAGAGGTGTTGTCTTCTGTATTGGCACTGGTTTTGGATGATATTTTCCCAGAGGTGTAGTTGATATTTTCTGGTTTTTGCTTGGGGGGGGTGGGGGGTGGGCTTACTTTCACTGCATTTGATGATATAGAGGTGAAGGGGTTCAGAAATGGGTGCTAATATGTGCAAGGAATAAGGAGGGGGCTGATATTTGAATCTTTGTTTAAGTTGGGTTTGGTTTTACTGGGGCTAAAGTGGGTTTCAGTAGGTGGTGAAAGGAGGTTGCATTTCGGGCTTTCGAAGAAATGAGACTTTCGACTTCATCCTCGTCTTCGGGTTTTAATCACCAGCCTCAGGAAGGTATGCACTTTTTTGTGCTTTATTTGGCTCGTTCCATTTTTCTCGTCTGAAATTTAATACGTCCTTAAAAGCATTAGTGAATCGACTCTGAGGCATTATCTTGCATACATTTATGCTTCTTTTGTTTTTGGATTAAGTCTAAACGATTGAGCCACGTTTTAGGCGACCGTTATATGTGCATGTCTTAATTAAGCGGTCATTGAACAGACCTAGTGAATATTCATTTCACCAGTGTTTGTGTCTCTTTCCGGAGTTATTTCATTGTAAAAATAGTCACATTCTATGCATATGTTGCTTGTCTGTTCGAGAATTGAGTTTGAGGTGACTAAACACCCATCTTACTATTTTACAATTATCTCAACTGCCCATAATGCTTGATGGGGTTCTGGGTGGAAATTTGGTTATATGATTTGAAGTGGTTGCACCTGTAAACAAATTAACAACATGCCATTATCACTAAAACTAGGCTTGCATTTCTATCTTCAATTAATTTAAGGGTTAGGATTTTGATGCTATGGATTTCATGTCATGCATACTCATGCAAGCATAGAAACTATGTGCAGGGGAGAAGAAATGTTTGAATTCTGAGCTATGGCATGCATGTGCGGGGCCCCTGGTGTCTTTGCCTCTTCTTGGAAGTCGTGTAGTCTACTTTCCACAGGGTCACAGTGAGCAGGTCAGCAACTGGATCGCTATCTCATTTATTTTCAGATTTTTCCTTCTGAATGGTATCAGGAGAAAACATTTGGTTGGTTTGCAGTACGTAGAATAGGAACTTTGGTTGTTTAATTGATTCGAGGAAGTCTCTTGTTACCATTGTCTTATTTTTGTCTAATAAGTTTGAAATGTAGGCTGTGTAATTATAGATTTATGTTCATTTACTCCTATTGAAAAAAAATAAAAAATTAAGGATGGGTTGAAGGTTTTCTTTTTACTTCTTTGATATTTACATAGTGTCTAGTTATAACTTTGTCTCTTATTCATTTTATACATATCATTACCTCAATTACTTTAATATAATCCAAAACTTATGAGTACAATTGTTGTGTGCTTAAACTGCTGAAGCTTCTATTATCTATATAACCACAACGTCCTGGACACTAATTTTTGAGAGTGTATTCAGTGATTGTTTTTAATTCTTGGTATTTCTTGTACAGGTTGCTGCATCAACCAATAAGGAAGTGGATGCCCATATTCCAAATTACCCCAACTTGCCTCCACAACTAATATGTCAGCTGCATAATGTGACAATGCATGTAAGTGTCAGCTGGCTTGCATCTTCTCTGTACCATTTCATGGGATGCTCCTTAATTTTTTAAAATTTCGTATGGTACAGGCAGATGTGGAGACTGATGAAGTATATGCTCAAATGACCCTACAACCATTAAGTCCGGTACTGTACTTTTCTGTTTTTGACTTGTGACTTTGTGAGTCAAGTAATTTTCATCATGTATTAACATAAACTATTTTGTAGCAAGAGCAAAAAGATGTATACCTACTGCCTGCGGAGTTGGGTGCTGCCAGCAAACAGCCAACCAACTATTTTTGTAAAACTTTGACTGCAAGTGATACTAGCACGCATGGAGGATTCTCTGTTCCCCGCCGTGCAGCTGAAAAAGTCTTTCCTCCTCTTGTAGGTTTCCTCCTTTTTGAGTGGCCTGAGCATCACGTTTGATTTTCTATGTTTTCGTCTCATGAAATTGGTTTCAATAATTTAATTTTTTACTGTACCTTCAGGATTACTCACAGCAGCCCCCAGCTCAGGAACTAATTGCAAGGGATCTTCATGATAATGAGTGGAAATTCAGACATATATTTCGAGGTGGGTGTGAATTTGTTCAGAATTCTGTTTTATATCTGCTTTCATTACTCTTTATTATTCTTCAAGTCTGCACCTCTAGCTTAGATGCAAAATTAAGACCACTTAGTGCAAGTATACTAGACAGTTCGCACACTTGCTGTTCTAAATGTCAAAAGTGAAAGATTTTGAGAAATTGTATATTTAATGGCATGAGCAATATCTCATTAAAAATAAATAAATTTATTGTTTACTTGAACTTAAAAATCTGTAATTACTAAACCTACTTGCTATAGTAATTTCCTAAAGACCCAGTGAGGATGTGGCAAACAAATAATGAAATAAAGTAGCCCTGTCTTTGAATCTGCCTAAACATATAATAATCAAAGAACGGCCCAAGCAACCAGACAATGTAGCAACTTTTTTTATGTTCTGGATTATGTAAATGTTGCCAATTATTAAATTTGGCTGCCTTTGGGTCATATTTTATGGCAAGTTTGATTTCTGTTCTCCCGAGTAACTTAACCATTATTCTGGGGTTAGGATGGCATGCACTCTCCTTTTGGAATATTTTTTTTCTTCTGCTTCAGTGAGCTGTTCAAAAAGTTGCAGCTGTCAGGAGAAAATAACTGAACTGTAGCAAGAAATTAGATTAAAGGGAATGGGTAACCAAGAGTGTTACACCACATGGATGATCAACAACCATTCAACCCTCTTAGTCTCACAAATTAAGAAGAAATAATTGTAGGTCTTATTGACCCAACAAATGTTTTTTTGTTTCTACTGTAGTTGTTCTTGCCCTCATTGTGGTTGAAAGGCAAGAACTGCCTGTCATGGATCTTGATCACATTGGGCTTACACATGAATGGGCCTTGTGGGACACTTGTTTTAGAGTTCAATGATTTTATAGACTGTTGTGAACGTTCTTTACCTAGGTTTTATTTTTTAATATACTGTCTGCAACATGCAGTTCTGGTTTCTAATTTATTTTTTCCATGCTATTGTGCAGGCCAGCCCAAGAGGCATCTTCTCACGACAGGATGGAGCGTGTTCGTTAGTGCCAAACGTCTTGTTGCTGGTGATTCAGTCCTTTTTATTTGGTAATTTTAAAACATTATTCTGTTCTTCGTATGATTGAATATGTTTCTCTTCTTCTTTTTCTATTTTTTTGGGAATGTGCCGGGGGTGGTTGGACTTATTAGGGCAAGAATTGTGGTAATTATTAGTTTTTCTTCAAATATGTTGTCTTCAATCAGGAATGAAAAGAATCAGTTACTCTTGGGTATTCGGCGAGCAAATCGTCCACAGACTGTTATGCCCTCATCGGTTTTGTCAAGTGATAGCATGCACATTGGTCTTCTTGCTGCTGCAGCCCATGCAGCTGCCACAAATAGTCGCTTTACAATATTTTATAATCCAAGGTGAGTATCTGCTACTTCTCTAGATTGTAGATTCTACTTGTTACATCTTATTAATCAATTTGCTTATAATGCAGGGCTAGTCCATCTGAGTTTGTGATACCCCTGGCCAAGTATGTTAAAGCTGTCTATCATACACGGGTTTCTGTTGGCATGCGATTTAGGATGCTGTTTGAAACAGAAGAGTCAAGTGTCCGTCGGTAGGTTAATTATCTTCATAGTTATATATGTAGTTTATGATTAGCATTTATTTAAGTGGTAATTTTTTTGTTTTGTTTTTCTTTTCCTTCAGATACATGGGTACAATAACTGGTATCAGTGATTTAGATTCTGTGCGTTGGACAAATTCACATTGGCGCTCTGTGAAGGTTTGTTGGGAGCATTTTGTGATTTTCATGCTCATTAAAATTCAAATATTTTGCATAAGTTTCACAAGTTTTTGAAAGAGATGTGGCCAGTTTTTTTAACTTTTTCAGGTGACATAAGGTTTGTAAATGTGTTCTCTGCTAATGCAGGTTGGCTGGGATGAATCCACTGCAGGGGAGAGGCAGCCTAGAGTTTCATTGTGGGAGATTGAACCACTAACAACATTCCCAATGTATCCATCCCCATTCCCCCTCAGACTGAAGCGACCATGGCCATCGGGCATTCCCTCTTTCCACGGTATCTTTGTTTTTATGCTTGAGGAACACATGGTGTCTTATGTGTCAACAATTGTTTTCTTTGCCCCCTCTAATACTCAGTGGTATGTTCATTTCAGGGCTCAAAGATGGTGATATGGGCGTTAATGCTCCACTGATGTGGCTCCAAGGAGGGGTTGGAGATCAGGGGATTCAATCTTTGAACTTCCAGGGATTTGGGGTTACTCCCTGGATGCAGCCGAGGCTTGACGCTTCTATGGCAGGTCTACAACCTGAAGTATACCAAGCAATGGCAGCTGCCGCACTTCAAGAAATGAGGACAGTGGATTCTTCTAAATGTGTTTCACAGTCTCTTCTGCCCTTCCAGCAATCTTCAAATGTTTCTAATGGGCCGGCTGCTGTGCTTCAGAGACAGGTTATACCGCAGTCGCAATCTCAAAATACTTATCTTCAGAGCTTTCAAGAAAACCAAGCTCCTGCTCAGGCTCAGGTTTTGCAACAACAGTTGCAGCGTTACCATCCCTATAGTGATCAAAGGCAACAACAGCAGCTGCAGCAGCACCAGCAACAACAGCAGCTGCAGCAGCAACATCAACAGCAGCTTCAACAATCCCATCATCTGCACCAATTGTCTGTTCAGCAGCAGATCCCGAATGTTATGTCTGCTCTGTCCAATTTTGCCTCTGCCACTCAATCCCAGTCTGCATCTCTGCAGGCTATCCCTTCACAACCTCAGCAGCAGAGCTTTCCTGACCCTGTTGGAAATCCTATATCTTCATCTGATGTTCCCCCTATACATAGTATATTAGGTTCCCTATCACAAGATGGAGCATCCCACTTACTTAACTTAAGTGGATCCAACTCTGTAATTTCGTCTTCCTTGTTACCCAAGCAGATCACAGGCGAACAGCAGTTATCATCTGGAGCTGCTCAATGTGTACTACCTCAGGTGGAACAGTTGGGAACACCACAGTCAAATATCTCTGAGCTCACTGCCTTGCCTCCGTTTCCTGGTAGAGAGTACTCTGCATTCCAAGGCGGTACTGATCCCCAAAGCAATCTTTTGTTTGGGGTGAACATTGATTCCTCATCTCTTATGCTGCATAGTGGGATTCCAACCCTGAGAAATATTGGCAATGGAAATGATTCATTGTCTATGCCGTTCGGTGCTTCCAGTTACACCAGTGCCACGGGCAATGATTTTCCACTTAATTCAGACATGACTACTTCAAGTTGTGTAGATGAATCAGGTTTCTTGCAGTCTTCAGAAAATGTGGACCAAGTAAATCCAACTCGAAACTTTGTGAAGGTAAGATAAGATAGTTGTGATTGTTTATTACAAGCATTTTATTCTTAACAGAACGGTCGGATGCATGGGAAGTCTTCTTCCATGTGAATACTTGTTCAAAAGAATTAGTACTTTTTCTGAGTGGTTACTCATATTCTTTTTATTAAATGTTGCAATTTGGTAGGTTCACAAGTCAGGGTCCTTTGGGAGGTCACTGGATATTTCTAAATTCAGCAGCTATGATGAGCTGCGCAGTGAGCTCGCACGTATGTTTGGCCTTGAAGGCCAATTAGAGGACCCTCAGAGATCAGGCTGGCAGCTTGTATTTGTTGACCGGGAGAATGATGTTCTTCTCCTTGGCGACGACCCTTGGCAGTAAGTCCCAAATTGTATTTCATCATTTCACTTATACTAGTCAATTATTATACACTCTGTTTGCATTGGCAATTCTAAAATTCGAGCTTCCCATGCGTTTCAGTTATTACTGTTCTTTTGTAAAATGTTTCATCCTGGATTACTGGGCGCAAGTTTAATGTTTTCGAAGTAGCTACTGCAATGATTTTATTCTGTATGTCAAATTGTTAAAAGTGTAGGAGCTGGTATCCCAAATTTGTGGATAGAAACAGAGGTAATGTTTAGAAAACGCCTTGAGGTTTAAAGTGTTGTAGGAGTAGCTTAAGCCATTTAAAATTGTTGACTGTTTTATCACTTTTCAAGAGTTTTAAGTTACTATTTTGCATGTGTACATCTCTGAGCCGGATAGAAACAGAGGTAATGTTTAGAAAACGCCTTGAGGTTTAAAGTGTTGTAGGAGTAGCTTAAGCCATTTAAAATTGTTGGCTGTTTTCTCACTTTTCAAGAGTTTTTACTTACTATTTTGCATGTGTACATCTCTGAGCCTTAAAACAAAAGTCTTCTGAAGTTTTGAACTGTTCTTTTTTATGATTCAGTTGAAGTAAATGATTCTTCTCTTATATTCAGG